GGGGGGCGGCACCTCCTGCAGGGAGGAAGAGGAGCTATCCGCCTTCCCCTGGAAGTGTGGGCAAGGTTCTGCTTCCTTGTGTTCGCACGGGCCTTCTGAGGAATTTGAACAACTGCTGTGTGTCTCTGTGTGTGCATGTGTGCCTGTGTATGTTGTTTCTTCCTCTTAAGTTAAACATCTTAATTTTTTTTAATTTACTTTTGAAAGACAGGTACTAAATGTTAATTTTAAAATATTCTGTACTCTGCACAGTTGCCTTATCAATAGTCAGTAGGGACTGCTCTGAACATCTTTAATAACTTTCAAAAGCAATTTTGGGGTGTGAGTACATCTCTTTAACTTCTGTGTACAAAATACTGACATACAAGTGTTTTTTATATATATGTGTGTGTGTGTATATATGTACACATTTTCAGATTTTAATTTCTGTTCACCATTTTAAACAAGATACTGTTAATGCCATTTTGGTGTTGCAAGAGTAGAAAAATTACCAAGCAGCTTATCTTTTTTTGTCTCTTCCTAGAAAACGTGCACTATTTTGGCTGTTACTGGCTGTTATATCATGACTTTTTGTACTACACTGTAAACTACATGGGGGGAAATACGAAACGCTGGTTGATATGGTTAAAGTGTACCTCCACTGTCATTAATTACTGCGAGGTAGAGCTTATTGTAGACTTAGTGATCATGGTAGTACAACTTTATTCACCACTTACTGCCATGTATCAAAGAAACCTCGTTCATTCCAGAAATGCATTGAAAAGTGTGTTTGTGTGTATATATATACCCAGGCCTGCACGTGTGTTTTATGTGCACCTGCCTGCAATACCACTTTGATATTAACTGCCTTGTATTTTTAATGAAAATGTAGCAAGTGGGGCAAAGGTTTTGGCTTACTCTTCGACAGAAAGACATTAAAATAAAAAAATTTCTAACATATATTTAAGCAAAGGACAGAATCTTAAATTGCCTCTAATAGACGAGACAGAAATCTGTACCTCAAATTGCTCTAGGCAGTAGGTTTCTGATGCTGTTGCTGTGATGGTTTGGAGTTCACTATTTCAACTGAAACTAAAACCTTTGTGCCTGATAATGATTTATTGAGTAAAGTAGCAGTGCCAGGAAGATTGTAAAATCCTGATGCCGAGTTGTGAATGTGAAGTAAATTAGACTGAATAAAAGTTCATACCTTTCCACAGCGAACTTCAGGCAATTTTCTTTCACTTCCTCTAACAAAAAAAATAGTGGGGGGGGGGGGGTTTTTTCCAAGAAAAGCAGGGACACTGTGCTGTAGAAAGATGATTAATAAAAAAGATTTAAAAATAAAAAATAAAAATGTCTTAATTTCTCGCTACATTCTGTTACAGTGTTGTCTGCTGTTTGTATGGTAAGCAGAATTTCTGATCTCAGGAAAAGTTAGTCAGTATGAGAATGAAGACTCCAGAGTAAAGATGTTGGCTATGTGTTAAAATTGAGACAAACCCACAGGAGTTTGGTATCTTAAAAGAGAACTCATCCTTTTGGTTCCATTTCAATTGACTGACTTACTTCTGAACGAGAAAACATATCAATTTATGTGGGGCAAAACTGACTGTAGTGAATGACACAACTGCAAATGAGTGCGTTGCTCTTGGCACTGATCAATGCCTACCTGCTACCAGAAATATTTCCCCTTTATACAGATAATGCAGATATTCACAACAGAAGGAGCCGTTAAAAAAGTTATCCTTTCATACATAGCAGCACATTAAAACAACATTTAAAAAAAAAAAAGTTTTATGCTTTACTCTATGCCATCATTGACCAGCTGTGTTTTTTTTGTATTAAAGTGAAAAACTGAAATACATACTCTGAAGTGGGAACAGTTGCAGAACCACACTGGTCCTGACAATCCTGGAAAGGGGCTCAACTTGCACCTTGCAAGGAAACTTGCACAACATGATGAACTCGGGCTACACAGGCGACATGGAAATGATGAGGACTTGATGCACCACATTTTTTATTGTAGAGGATGTTCTCAGTTGGTACCAGTGCAATTGCAGCTATTTCTCTTTACTGGGCAAAAACCCTAGGTTACTTTTCATAGAGTAAGTTATGAATTGTGTATAGAAGAGAAAGGCTTTGTTCTTCTGAACACAAAGTGACATACAGTAAATCATACTGACAGTCATCTTTTAAACTATTTTTTAGAATGTTTTGTGCTAAAAAATAACTACTAAGTAATGTTCCAAGAAACAGAATTTTAGAAGAAACTACTTTTAATAAGCAGCAGCCACTAGTGTGTGTCATGCCAATTCCTTTAAAAACACCCAAGTTACCCACGTGACCAAGACCTCTATTGTTAGCTGAGGCGTTTACCCTTGCCTCCAACAGCTTGCACGTGACAAACTTCTACTGTAGCACCCAGCTTCTTCAGTTCACTCAGCCAGATTATCTGCTTGTGGGACAGGCGATCATTGGGACCTTTCACTTCCACCAGCTACAAAGAAATGTGGATGATTAGTAGTGTGCCTGTGGAGGAACTGAAAGATCATTAGCTCTCACAGATTAATATAAGTATTCTTTTATGGCTGTCATTTGCAACAAAAGTAATACAGATTTTTTAGCATGACGGAAGGCCCAGTGGCTGCTAAATTATTAACCCAGGTACCAAAGTTTAACTGTAAGAGAATGAAATTTTATATAGTAAATATCCACCAAAACACAGACAGAGGCACTGGTGAATGAAGATACCACATATTCAAAAACTGATCATCTGCAACCTCACCTGCTCCAGCTGATACTGACAGCAACTTGCTCGGATGCTCTAGAGAACTCATTTCTGCTACTCAGCCATGTTTTAGAAACCTGTAACAGGTTGCTCCGGCAGCTGAGAGATGTCCAGTAGTCTTCTAATACCTATTCCACTACCATGCAAGACACAAACCATGATTGTGTACTCAATTTTTGTAGCAGAGACAGACGTAGTTGTTGTTGTCTCATATATTCAAGTTTTTGTGTAAGTAAGTGGTGACATTAGCACCCCTTGCTAACAACGGTCAGAATGTGTCTGACTGATTGGTAACGGTTGCTTTACAGTAATTTTAAATGAAGACCTATTCTACAACAATACCTAGCCACCTCTTGCTGTTTCTCATTATGCCTGTTAAAGCTACAGCAAAATGTGATGAAATAGCAGATAAACAATCACCTACTACTTGTCATAGCTGCTGGGCAGATGAGCAGCAGGTTCAACTCCACCACAACAGGAAAATATAGTTTGTATAGGCTGACAGTTGGAAGATTTTATACCTAAGGGTAAGATCAGCTGAGCACTATTTCCATGACCTCCCAATATACCTTAAAGTGATTAGTGTGAGTACGCCACACAACCAGGTCAGGAAGTCCCCCTCTGCAGTGGCGTAGATCTTTGGAAAGTCGCCTAAAAACACCACTCAGAAACATTCCTCCAAGGCAAGAGACAAGGCTCTGTAAGAGAAGGTTTGGTAGTTAGTTGGTTTGTTTTCCCCCCTCCCAATTTTCTGTACAGCCATTTCCCAGCTCTCACAAGACTATGCTATGGCCCATCTCAGCTTTTTGTCTAGCTAGGTGTAACAAGAAACTTAATTAGATGTTATCTACAGCAATTTCCCTGCTGTGTTCCCAACTACTGTCGCCGGAAAAGTGACCATATCAGAAAAGAGTAACAGTACTTGGGATTAGGGAGAATTGTGCTGACGTCCCCACTCAATTCCTCCCTCCCACCACTCACCATCAGTCTTGCCTCAGTGGCTCAGTACAAACTGCGAGCACGCTACGGCCATGTGTGATTTAACAGCAAGCCTAATCAGAGTGCCTATTCCAGACAACAGTTACTTACCTGAACTTGCTGGAGGGAAATAAAACGCCCCCAGCTAACTAGTGCTGCTGCTTTTCCCTCCTGAGTGGTCCAGATGTCAGCAATCAACTTTGCCAGTGTCTCCGAGGAAGCTCTGTGAAGCTGCTGGAGTCTGGCCTCAATGACATCCCTCCTGTTCTCATAGAAGCTGTCAGTGTATAAATCCAGGGGGAACGTCTATATAAAAACGTAAATACAGCTCTGAGGAGCTGCCAGCAAAGCAGCGATTCCAAGAATGACAATGCCCAACGTCAAGTTTTTCTTATCGCAACTACAAATCCACTCACTGAGTTGATTTAACTTTAACATGTCCACCACGTAAACCTTTATTAAACAGGAAAAGATTTGGATATATTTTAACACCCAAAGCCAGTGCAACAAATGCTGGCCACATCTTAGCCCGTGCGCTGTTGGTTTTTGACCTCTAGACAGAGGTTTCCTTTAACAGACAACAAAGAGCTATCTGCTCTTCTAACTCTCCGAGCAGTAATATTCTAGTCAGGATTTGGACTCCGTATCAAAACTGCTCAGCTACAGCGAGCAGTTGGAGGTGGGAAGAACAAAGCAGCGATGACACTGGGGAGTATCAGCCAAGCCGCCTAAAAGCAGAGAAGCTTATGCGTAGTGCTGAACACATTATTGTATGAAGTCACTGCAGCAATTATTCCATTTTGAACATGGCTGAAAAAAAGACTATCATGTAGTAACTGAGTGCCATTCTAGTTTTTCAAAATCAAATGCAGAGTGCTTAGAAAAATGGCAAATTTCAGCCTTACACAAACTGCTGCCACAGCTAATCCCACAAAAATACAGCCTAGGAATGACAGATAGAATCAGGTGCGAGCTTTCAGCTCACCCTTGTTCATGCCTGAGGCTCATGATAGCTTTGCTCTGCAGTAATAAGTAATGACATGACATTCATACAATTACAGCATCTTACAAGAATAGAAGATAGGCCACAAGAAGAATTATTTGTATGAATTCCATTTATTGGTATTTATATGGCCTTTGGAGCTACAATGGTCCCCTTCCTGTCCTGTCTATGAGCCTGCAAGTGCCTTCATGTCCCACCTCAAAATTCCAAGGGAAGAAGGACAACCGTATCTCAGTTCTTTCTGCAAACAGTATTCAACCCTAAATCTACTTGGTCAGATGAATACAAGAATCAAGTAGTAAAAGTAATTTCAAAGAATAGCCACTACTCTGTAGTAAGCTGCCTCTTTTCATCATTAGTTCTCCAAGGATATGACCAAGAACATACTTATAATCAAGTGCTGGTGGCTTAAGAAATTATTTCAAGACGTGACTCTACACAGACTCATAATCCATGTCACCATAAAATAAAAAAAACAGGTTAAACTTCAGATTAGTGGGACAGAGAACGACTCATGGATTCACAGTTTTGAGTTTAGTCTATTGGCCTAATAATACAATTGTACTGTTTGATTCTCCAGATACTTACAGCCTTTGCTTAAGGGACTACGTAAGGATGGCCTTGAGAGAATATATCTCCCTCTCCGCCAACTAAAAAGAGGTATTTGTAGTGGTCACTAATTAGGGAAACAGCCATCTCCAAAACCACCAGGTGGTTTTCAACTCAGCCACAAGGATTTCTACTTCATACTGGTGAAGAAAAATAAAGGGGGGGTGGGGCGGAAGGGGAGAAAAGACAAGAAAAACCTGCATGTTTCACCTCTAAAATAAGAAATTTCTACCTAAGATACCTCATACTGATATAAACCTATAATTTCTTACAGTACACATAAATCCAGCTAAGGAAGAGGACAGCACTGGCTGGTCTACCTCTTGGCTAGGGTTCCAATTAGAAGCAATGGGTTAAGGTGGAAGAAAGAAGACAACTGTCCGGCCTTTTTTAGTTCTACAACATTTGGGATGGCTTTTTAGGGTTTTCTTAGCAAATGTCATTAAAAGTGATCAAGTTTTCTAATTGCAATTATTAAAACTGTTTCTAGCTGTAATTTGTAAGATGTAAAGCATTTAGCTAAAAGCCACAAGTTCACCTGGAATCATTAATCTTATGGTGTGGCAGGCAGTTGTTGTTGGGGAGGTGTGTTGTTTGCTTGTTTGTTTCTTTGACAAACAGGAAGGATGATCCCAAAAGCATAACCATGTTGGGGTGGAGCGGGTGGGGGTGTTAACAAACCTGAGTTTAAAAATGTGACTTCCCTTTAAAGGCTATTAAAAAGAAATAGATGCTTTTTTTTTTTCTCTTTAATGGAATGCATCATCTTCAAATGAGATGAACAATGCTATGGTATAGCAGTATTCTTCCACTGACTATAAAGGAAACTTTGACCAGTGAGTTCAGCTATAGGACATACGCATTTAGCCAGATGAATCCCACCCTATCCGACAGTCAATCCAGACTTACACAGCAATTAGTTACCGAGGAGCCCTTTAGAAACAAGCCCAAAATAACAAATAATAAAACCAAGCAAACATCAAGATCTGCCTGGGAATTCCCTCAGAATAAAATGTTAATCTAATCGCGAGTAAGATTTTAACATGGTTACAGAGTCTACAGCAATGGGAAAAGAAATTAACTAAAGAAAGCCTTTCAAAACTACCTGATAAGAATTTCTGAAAACGTCGGGTATGTTGTCCATGAAAATGATATCCCACATCAGAATACCATACAGCGTAATAAATGTTGAGCCTTCCCCGTGAATACCTAAAGGGCAAAATTTCATAAAAATTGAAACATTAATTTTTACAGCAATCTCAAGGGACACTAAATCATCATGATCCAAACCAGAAACATGTTTATACACAGCTGAAGTCGGTATATTACATTACAGCATCAAGTTGTAAATGCAGTTTATCACTTCCACAATTTGCTAATGCTTTCTACTTCCAGGCTAGTGGCCTTCATTTACAGCGTAGGATTAAATTACTATCCCCTGTCATGAATAAGGTTTATTGTTCTAACTTTAACAATTTTTAATACACAATTTTTTTTATTTTTACACTAAAAAGCAATATATTAATAACAAAATGTTTATATATAAAATGTTTTCTAATATACATGTACATATACATGTATACATACATATACGTATATGAGCTATACATATACATGTGTGTACACATGTATGCGTATATATGTATACATATATGTGCTGCAAAAAGCAATCACTCACCACCAGCAGACCAATGCCCAGCCAGTATACTAAAAATGTAATACATTAATAACAAAATGTTTGCAGATATAAAAACGTTTTCTATTACATTTACATATTTCTATTACATTTACATATACACATACATGAGTATCTATACACGTACATATATACACATTTACATACACATGTATGTACATATATATGTGTGTATGTATACGTGTACATATACATGTAATAGAAACCGTTTTTATGGTTTTTTTAATATAGATATATAATATGTATACATACACATACATATATGTATGTATACATATACATGTATTTTATATATGATATGTACAAGTATGTACATGTATGTACACATGTATGTATATATGTTTACATACATAAAAGTGGATGCGTATATATGTGCATATATATATACACACACGTGCGCGCGCGCGTGCATATTTTTATATATTAAAAGAATTGTGGTGGGTTGACCCTGGATGGCAGATAAGCCCACTCACCCAGTCACTTGCTGACCCCTCCTGCCCCAGCGGCTGGGGGAGACAACTGAAAGGGCACAAGTGAGGAAGAAAAAGAAACAAACAAACCCACAACCCTCAGGGGTTGAGATAAAAGACAATGTAATGAGTGAAGGGGGCAAAAAAAAAGAAAAAAAAACAGAAAAAAAGAAAGGTGATGCAAAAGCAATCGCTCACCAGCAGACCAACGCTCAGCCAGTCTCTGAGCAACAGCTCAGTTTTACTGCTGAGCGTGACAGTTTGTGGCAGGAGTATGCCTACCATGTAGCCTCGGCTGGGGTCAGCTCTCCTGGCCGCCTCCCCTCCCAGCCTCTCGCCCGC